GAAAAGATTGCTCGAAACCCAACTATTCTTCGGAATCAGACAAATTCGCTTCGGCAACTGTCGAATTTCGTGAGTGTAGCCCGTCGTTTAAACAGCAGATGGACCAAAAGCCGAAACCGGATAGTGTCATTCAGCCATTCATTCATTCATATATTCACGCATTCACTCACTGATTCACTAATACACTCATTCAATGAATCACACATTCACTCTTTTTATCAGTAACTTATTCATTAATTCATATAGTCATTGAGTCACGCATTAATTCATTAACTCATTCATATATTCACTCATTCTGTCCTTCACTCGCTAATTCACTAATTCACTAATTCACCAATACAATCATTCACTTAATTATTCATTCAAGCAATGAATCATTCCCTAACTCATTCACTCGTTCACTCATTCATTTACACACACACTCATTCACTGACTCACTCATTTATTCATAAATTACTCTTTCATTCATCATTCATTCACTCATTTATACATTCATTTATTCACTCACTTATTCATTCATTTAATCATTTGCTCTATCCGTGCCACTGACTCAGTCATTCCTTCAATAACTCGATTATTTTTTTCATCTATTAACTTATTCAATCACTTCCTCATTTATTCTGTACCTCAATCAATCGGTCAACCTGTCGCACTGAATGAGTGCCAGGTCTGCCGATGCCTGTCGATTGGCGAGAGGGACGAAAGCCGATTACCCCGCACCAGCTTGGAGGTGGGCTGGGGTCGGGTGGGGTGTGTGTAAGTGTGTGTGTGTGTGTGTGTGTGTGTGTGTGTGTGTGTGTGTGTATGTGTGTGAAGTGACTGCGACGCCGAAGCCGAGGCTGAGACCGAGGCCTTCCTCTCACGAGGTCGACCTCTGCACGACGCGTCTCCGCCTCGGGTGCTCTTCGACGCCAACCAAGCCTCGAGTCAACATAAGCGCCAGAAGCGAACGGATCAACTGACCAAGTGCGAGTCCCGCACGCCCAAGCCGGTTCGAGGCCTGACCAGACCGGGCGGCGTAGTCGTCAGTGGACTTGAGGTCTCCGAGGGGCCCGCCGCCGCTGTCAGAGCCGCAGCAGCAACTGCTGCTGCTGCTGCCGTCGCCATGGCAACAGGATCCATGAGTCCAATCGGTGCACCGGAGAGACTGGAGAGACCGGAGACGCCGGCGCTGGTGCCGGTGGGAGCGACTCGGTTGGACAAGCCAATCAGGCCACGAAACAGGTCGCCGCCGGTTCTGCCCGTGAGGC